ACCTCTAGTTCATCTATTTCTAACACTACTTCAACAATACTACTCTTATCTCTGGAATCTTCTCTTTCAAGCAAAGAAAAACAAATACATAATCCTCTTTTCTCTACTTTAAAACCACTTACTCCTACTGACAACACACACTCCTCTATCCAAACCATAATCTGTCCTATAGAAATTGATAATAAAATTTCTGCTACCAACAAAGCTAATACCACTTTGGCCAACAAACCCAACAATACTACTTTTTTACTAACCCCCAAACCACTGTACCTGATATGGAAATCAATAACAATTTACCTCAAACAACTCAAATAAACATATCCTCAACAACCAAACCTCTTCTTCAAAATCCAAAAGCTAAACCCAATAAACCTACTACTCAAACAACATATTCTACTATTGTATAGCAAAATCAAACTCAAATTAACACTAATATCTCCTCTTCTACTAACAAATCCACTACCAAACAACCTAAACCAATTCCAACTTTTGACTGGCTTGCTCACTTTTTAATAACTACAGAAATGGAATCTAAAAATAAACTCCAAACTTCTTTCTCTCAACAACTCTATGACTTCTTTAAAAAACACCTTCATGACTTCTATTCAGGTACCATTCTCAAAGCAGCAACACAAGACAAACAACAACTTAAAGCTAGCTTCTATCATATTATTCGTTGTATGGCAGAAGAAAGACCAGATTTTCTTATTAACTACATCTACCAAATTAATCATAATATAAGCAAACAAGCAACTATTCCATTTAGTACAGTAGAAGACACTTTTAAAAAAATTGTTACAAAATTTACCTCGATTTTCTTTATTCAACTTAACTATCTAGAAATTTTTGCATCACCTGCAACTATCCCGCCATACAAACCTGAAAATCATCTACAATTCTGCCTTAATCTGGCACATCTATATCTTTACCTCCACAATAAATACCAAGCAATCGATTACAATAAATTTGCAGAAACACTTAATCTCCACCGCAAAATATACAAACTTATCTCTCAAGTTGTCAGCACTGACAAAGATGGAAAATATTTAACCATTAAATCAGATAATAAATTCAATATCCAACTACTTCTCAACTTACTAGTCACTCTTTTTTTTAAAAACTTTTCTATTCCTTCACTTCAAAATTCTTTAGACCATTTTAACAAATGGTTTGATGAATTCTTCTCTATTTATAATTGTTAATTTAAAGATCCATTAAACAAAGAAGAGACTTGCAACATACTTAAATACAAAATTCAAAGAGCCTATATTCTCCAACTTAAACAATACCTCCCTTCTATACTTGACACTTTTCAAAAACCCACTTGCTATGAGGACTGCCATGATGAATGCTTTAAGCACCTTAACTTCCATATTCTAACTTGCAAACATGAAAACTGCAATCTCATTCAGGAAAACTATAAACATGATACTTCTCAACTTTTTAAGAATTTATTAACCAAATCTTATGAAGAATATCCAAAAGAAATTGATATACCTAACCTGGAAATTGACCCCTTAATCTTTGGACTTGATTCTGGAAATAAAGCCACCTTCTTAAAACCAATCCCAACCAAACTCCTTGATAAACTGGCAGATTTAGCAGAGCAAGATTTTTGTACTAAAAATCATACTGTCTCTTCTATTAAATGTCGAAATGGTTTTTTCTATCAATACCTTCAAATATACTAAAAACAAGCTGCCAAAAATTTACAAATTCATCACCTAATCTATATAGATACTATTAACAAAATTACTGCCGAAGTAGTTAGTACCGACTACCTAACAAGAATCATTACCTACTTTGAACAAGCTCATACAAAAGAATTCTCCTTTTGTCATCTTACACAATATTACACAAGCATTGCCTATCCTGAAGCTGAAAGAATTCTTTCTCGAAAATATAACATAATTTTCAAAGTTCCTAACCAAATTGACGATTCATTATTTCTTAATGAATCTTCTTTTCATTAAACATGTCTTTCACAATCATTTCAACTTTATTCAATCTTAGCTTATTTTGAACAAATTTACTTTTGAGAAAAACAAAATACTACAATTTTCATTACTAACACTATACATATCGAAAACACCAAAACAATACTCAAATTATTCTACCTCATAATCATTTTTATTTACTCCTTTATAACTATATTAAAACTTCATAATCCTTTTATTC